CAACAATATATTGTTACTAGAAAAATCCTGTTGTTGGGAGAAGTCACAGTATATGCCCACCTCACAGTATATGCTACTGTGAATTTTGAAACATTACTTTGAAGGAGTAGCCGTGCTTGAAGGGGGTAGCAGTTAAGGGTGGATTGAGCAAGGGGTCACCTCACATACACCCCAAATTTGAGTGGCACCCCTCTTGCTCCAGTCATAAGCTGCTTAGGAATGGAAGATAATATCTCACAATCCCCCATTGATCAAAAAGTCCTGGTGCGTCAGCCTTGTGATCCTAACGCAGCAGATTTTACAACCGACTTCATTAAAAGCCATGCCCTGTTAGAGGAAAAGCCAACACAACAAATCTTTCTGCTCTCTTCGGCCTCCAGCACGCCAGGTCATTGATAGTTCTGCTCAGCAGCCTCCAGTCTGAAAGCTGTCAGAGGCAGAAAGGAGAGAGAGAGAGAGAGAAAAAAAAACAGTCTCTCCATCACAGCTGGGTCCTCCTCCACCAGCGCCTCAGGCTACTGACCCTGAAAGATTGCTGGCTGTAGCCGAAGCAGCAGCAGCCTGCCTCTTTTGCTCCCGACTGCTGCTAGTGCCAAAAAAATATATGCAGGCGGAGGAAACCGTAGCATCAGCTCAGGCAGCCCTCAGACAGTGGGTTGGAAGCTAGCAGCTTTCTGGATCTAATCCTTGTTTTGAAACAGCCTTTTTTGTTTGAGTGGAATTTGTGGGATCCTACAGATGTCCTGGGAATAAAAGATCTCTGGCCCGTTTTCTATGGCCCAAAGTTCATGTCACGTGCACCGAGGATCTTTAGGGAAATCTAGCTAGTTATTCACAGAACCAGGTAGTAAAATGTCACATCGTTAACAGAGGGCTTTTTCAGATGGAACATTTTATTCTTTTTTTTTTAAGTATCAGCTTCTGCACTGATTTTATTGGTATTTTCCCCATAACCGACAGCCTGAGTCTTGTCTTGCTTAGTTTTGTGGGGTTTTTTAATCATCTCAGAACTGCAGAGCTAGAAGAAACCCTATGGAGCATCGAGGCCAATTCGAGAGTGACAATCTCTTCCACACTGAAGACAAATCCAATCTGTCCCCTGTCCAGCTCCCTGATTTGGCTGATTTCAGGACTGCCTCTTTGCCTCAGCCTGCTGGACAAGGATCTCTTCAAATTGGGAGAGGCCGTGATGTACCGCCTGCCTCCAGGCTGAACTCTCAGAGGTGAAAATTTCCCCTCTGTTGAGGTCCATTCCTAAGGCCTTCAGATCCCGCTTGCAGATATCCTTGTATCGCAGCTGTGGTCTCCCTCTGGGGTGATTTCCCTTCACTAATTCTCCATCCAGGAGATCTTTTGGAATCCGATCATCAGCCATTCTCACGACATGCACAAGCCAACGTAGACGTCGCTGTTTCAGTAATGTATACATGCTAAAAATTCCAGCCTGTTCTAGGACTACTCTGTTTGGAACTTTGTCCTGCCAGGCGATACCAAAAATGTGTCGGAGCCAACACATATGGAACGTGTTCAGCTTCCTCTCCTGCCGTGCACAAAGGGTCCAGGCCTCACTGCAGTACAGGAGTGTGCTCAGGACACAGTCTCTATAGACCTGGGTCTTGGTTTATGCCGCCAGCTTCTTCTTGAGCCATACTCTCTTTGTGAGTCTAGAGAACATGGTGGCTGCTTTGCCAAAGCAATTTGGTTGGAATGAATTCGAAAAAAGAGAAACTTTAGAATTAAAATGTGTACAAAAAAGGATCAGGAATCAGGAGAGATAGCACAATGCCATCAGCATCTTGCCCATGAGTGAGATACCCTGAGTGTTGGGTGAGAGCTAGGCTTTCTGTGAGAACGGACTTCCTTGCCATTGTCACGACAGCACATTTATTTGCCCCTCCCCGTGGGTCAAAGACATGAAACTGCCCAGAAGACTGTTGTCCTTGTTTTTATCTTCTTTTTATAATTGCCAAAACTATCCTCAATGCACAGATCTCATCTGATGTTGGAAGCTAAGCAGGATCAGGCATGGTTTGCTCATGGATAGCAAATCATCCAGGACTTCCAGGTAGGAGTAGGAAAGACCCTTCTCTGAAATCCTGGAATATCATCACTGCCGATCAAACAGGGCTGGGGTGAGATCAGTGGTTCCCCACCTTGGGTCCCCAGATGTTCTTGGACTACAACTCCCAGAAGTCCTGGCCACCAAAGCTAGGGGTGAAGGCTTCCCTGAGTTTTAGTCCAAGAACAACTGGGGGACCAGAGATTGGGAACCTGAGGTTGGGAGCCACTGCTGTGGAGGGTGAATGACTCCTTGCTTAGCCTTCTCTTGGACCCATGCCAGTTTGGAGCTATTTATTATCGCTGAACACTTAATTACTTGAGGGACAGCAAGAAGATGGCCATGTCAGGAAGGTTTCAGCTATAAATAGCTCACAGCCTGAGACAAAGAGATCAGGCTGGAAATGTCAGAAAGAGAAAGTGGAGGGGGTTTAGGGTGACCTACATTGTCTATCGTTGTTTGAGGGCATTCCTTCTACACACGTTATGGTGCTATATTTGCATGGCTTCTCACCAAGAGCATGTAGCGTTGCTTCCATAACACTCCACGTTTTAGCGTTTCAGGTAAATCACTTGGTATGAAGACTTAGCTATTGTTCTGGCTTGGTGGGGGTTGTGCAAATAAATCCTATACTGGGGGAAAGCATAGAGTTCTTCCAGTTTCTGTTTTCCAGCTCTCTGTAACAAAGTGCACAGGGGGTGTCTTGAGACCATCATAAGTTGACATGTTTCCCATGGGGTTTCTTTGATTAGGACTGGCTTTCGCCCTGAGGCCTAACCTGGCAAACCTTTCTGACTTAACAAAAAGAATGTTGATAATATTCAAGTTATGTATCTTGTCGAGTGATGCATCTTGTTGGGAACATAGAAGGTTGATAAAATTTGGGAACAGTTGGAGGAGATTCGTCTTTGTTCTCCTGATATCGTCAGCGGGTCGGGCAGGTGGAGCTTTGTGTGAGATGAAATATAGGACAGATCGCCATTTAGTGCGACTGGAAAAGACCAATGATACATAGGCCACATTTGTTGAACAGATGTTCTCCCAAAAGGTGAACAATTTCCGTTTGGCATAAAGAACAGCTTTATCTCACCTCTGCCTTATTTACGTTCAGCATGCTTTCTTTCCTGATTGGTTGCTGGAAGGTAAACACAAGCTTAATTCGTAAAGCTGATTGGTGAGGGATGCTTCTCTGAGGCAATGCTGTCCCTGGAGGAAAACTGGTGTTAATCTCGGGGAACACGGAAACACAGAGGATGGAACTGAGAGTTCCATGACCATCTTAGCGTGCGTGCTATTGCTGGAAACGATCCCTGGAGACTACATGTGGGAATTTTGGCTATCTGCACTAGAGTGTTGAAGTTTTGCCTCCAGCTCTGCTCAGTTTGTACATTTGTAAAATATTCATTGTAATTTGCATTTTTTTTTAGCATTCAAGGTGTCTTGGAACCAATCCCCTGAGGCTACGTTTTGCTTCTTAATGTCCAAAACCTGAAGTGACCTATATTTCAGGGGCGACCTGTGATCTTAGTACTGGGATTGCTGATCCCAAAATTTTAGGGCTAATAACCTCTTACCCCCTGCTCTAATCACAAACTGCCAATGCTCCCTTCTGAAGAAAAGAAAAGCTGGATAAGATCTGCATTTCTGAATGTCTCATCGTTTAGAAAACTGGTGAGAGCAAAACATGCCGAAAGGTCAAGATTGTTTTCTGCAGGAGAGTCTCTGCAACACACCACATGAAAGGACATGCTAGTCCCCCGCTAGATGGTAATGGCATGAGCATTGCTCTTCTTCTATTCTTTTTTGCATTGTTTTATGATTTATTAGCAGGTGGGTGAGAAGAAACACATATGAACTGAAAGTAGCAGTCAGCTGGACTTCCACGTAGCAAAACTGGAATTTAGGGAGAGCAGCACCCAATACTATATTCCAGTCACTCTGTATGGGTGAGAAACCTGGACAGTTAAGAAATCATGCTGGGAAAGGCGGAAGGGCAGCAGGAAAAGAGGAAGACCAGATATGAGATGAACTGAGTCCCTGAAGGAAGCCATGGGCTTCAGTTTAGAAAAGCTGAGCTGGGCTGTTGAGGACAGGGACATTTTGGAGATTGCTCCTTCATATGGTCGCCAGAAATCGGAGGCGACTTGATGGCATGTTGCAACAGCAAGAAGCACACAATGCAGAGCAGCTACCTAGGGCAATAAATGAGGGTGAGTGCGGGAAATAGCTCCTTTCTAGTGAAGGGCCATAGATCAAGGGGAGAGCCCGTGCTTTCCATACCAAAGGGGGAGCCCAGGAATCTCCTGTCTTGAGAACCTAGAGAGGCACTTCCAACTGGTGCAGATCATGCAAAGGTAGAAGAAGACGTCTCCCCATGCTGCTCACCGTGTCGTGTCGCCTTCCAGTCATTCTAGAGGCACTTGTTTTCCTCTGCCCCTTTCCCAACCCCCAACCCCTTATGTGTGCATTAATAGGGATCATCAGCTAATCAGCTTTGGGGATTGTCAAACCAGATGCTTTCCAGTCAACCGAGTTGCATTTTCTTGGGCTCCTTTCCCCCAGCGCCTTTTCCCCCTCCTAAAAGTAGTCCATGGAGCAGTTTTCGGTGCACGTTTAAAACCTGCTATACAAAGCCAAATGGCGTGCCTTATTTTGAACATCTCGAGGATTTCAGCGTTCCTTTTTGGAAGGGTGGATCTTGTTGGTGAGTTTCTTCTTGAGAGGGTTCTGAGCTGCCTTCTGTCCTTCGATCCTTTCCGGGTAACGTCTGAGAGGCATCAGTCTCATGAAGTGGGCAGGTAAAACTGCAGGCAGTCGCCGAAATCTAGACAAATAATATTTATTATTCATTCAGGTTCCATTTGTAGGAAGATGTCACTCGAGCTGTCTTTGTTTGCAGATATAAATAAACACTCTTCTTTTCCCCCCAATCTGTCTCCAGATATGTGAGTTCGGCTGTTGAGCGACAAGGGAACACATCTATGAGGAAGGTAAATCTTTGCTGAATTATTCCCTAACAAAAATAGTCCATTGCTAATGTTCTAGTTTAGTTATGTCTGGATTTCCATTTGTGTTTGTGTTCACACACGGACGTGCCTGATAATTCAGGGGGACTTTTGAGCAAGAGTTAATACAAAACAGTTCCTAGCTTATCCATATAAGCAATGGCAAAATAAAATATCTGTGAACCTCGCCATTCCTTGAATATGTAAGAAGGGTCTGATGGGATTACTGCAAAAGACCAGAGCTTAGAAAAGATACATCAGTAAGAATCCAACCACCCCACCCTGGTGGGAATTAGTCCCAAAAATAAGCTTTCCATCTAGTCTAATTTGGTTGCTACATCCATCTAAGTAGACCCACTGAATGAATTGCTGAATGGTAAGTCAATGTTTCTCTAAGCCCCATTGATTCCATGGGTCTAGTAGCTGCGACAGGAAATTGGATGATGCTTCTGATGGCTGATGCTTTTGAAGAGTTCACAGACAAGGCACAAATTGGCAAGATAAACTGCAGCTGAATAGGGACCGGGAGGGTATTCTTACCCCAGAATTTTAGGGTGACACAACCCCAAATCTCTCTCCACAAGTTGTCCCCGAATCTCTCCTGTACAAACGACACAATCGTTTGGATGGCATTGCGCAAGACACTTCTTGCTCATCGTTTAGATTTGCTCTAGAATTGCAGAGCTGGGGGGGACCCTTCTGGATCACCGGCTCTAGAACTGCAGAGCTGGGAGGGACCCTTCTGCATCACCAAGTCCGGCCCCTGTTAAGAAGGCCCAGTGGGGGAATCGAACGCTTCATAGCCACCAAACTGCGGCCCCTGTTAAGAAGGCCCAGTGGGGGATTCGAACACTTCACAGCCACCAAACTGATCTAAACCACTGAGCTATCCAGCAGTTCTTCTCTGCATCCTCCCCCTTTCAGCTCTTCAGATATACTCGTACATACGATGCTGGAAATAGTCAACGCAGGCTGCGTGCCTCGGCGAGCCCATGTCGCCGTTTGCCTGCTTACGCCAAAGTTTCTTTGTTTCCTGAAGGGCTATTCTTCAGGGAGCGAGCGCACGATAATTAGCTGAACCGCCAAACAGTCGGAACAGAAGGGGCTTGGCGGTTTTGTTGCCTTCTGTGGGGCCTCGCCTAGTATTTTAAACTGTATGTGGAGTAACCGAGAGCAATGTTTTCGTAGCGAAGCACGCAATTAAGGAAGCATTCAGGATTTCAGACAAGGCACCAGCTCTGAATGCAGCTGCTGATCACACTCATTTTCTTAAGATCTGCTTCTGAGGGGAGATGAGTAATCTCTTACATCTGAGGGTAAATTTCTCATTTATAAATGTTCCCCCAACCTGCAAACGGAACAAAATGGTTCTAGTTTGGTTTATTCCCAAAACAGGTTTCTAAACATTGTCAAGGGGAATAATTTTCTGGGGAGCTTTTCAGACGGCTTGATTGAAGACTGTAGGAATTAATCATACCGTTCATTAAGCAGATTTCTGTGTGGGCTGATGCCCAGGTTAACAAGTAATCTATAGCATGGGCTAAATTTTAAATTGAGCAAGAGCTGAAGGCTTGTTGACCCCAATTTCCACTTGAGACAGACACATGTTTCTATGCAGCTATGGTCTTGAAACAGTATCTGGGACACCAATGAATGGCAAAAATTCTCCAAAATATTGCAGAGTTTTGGATTTCTGGTTAAAATTCTCCTTTTGATACAAAGCAGATGGACAGAGACTTTTTGCAGAGGAGAATAGCTTCCAGTTCCTCAGATAGTCCACCCCTTTTTTCATTGACCAGCCCTTACAGTCTTAATAACTTGCCCTGAGACAGTAGTAGTAGAAAGAATTTTAAAAAAATTTCATGACTTACAGTTGGAAACTGGTAAGAGCAAACTAACAACCAACATATAACTAACAGACAAAAGAGAGGGGGAAACAGAACACTCTGCAGAGAGGCAGGGCTCTCGTTGAATTCAGAGGCAGGAAAGAATGATTGGTTAGTGTTGGATTGATTGACAGCCACTCCAGCCCAGAAAGGTCCCTCCCAGTCAAACAAACGGCAGGCAGCATGCAAGTTTGTAAAAACTCCCAACACAAAATCCATTTAGAGTATCCTCTGCAGGACTGGCCCAAGATGTTTTTCCCAGTGGAACAGTGAACACTGGACTCATTCCAGCCCCATATCAAGGTGCATAGTTCTCAAAGTCACCCAAGTTATTTCAGTGCATGCAACAGAAAACCCTAAAATACTATCAAATTACGATAGGCAGCTATTAGCTGGCTTTTCATGGCCTCTATGAAATGCTTCCTCTGGCAGTTGCCTCCACTCTGCTTAACGGCAGAGACCTCTGGCAAGGCCAAGCTGGTGGTGTCATCGCAAGACACTGAGTTTAAAGGAAGAGAGGGATGGAGCCACGTCAATAAAGTGGCTGGGGAATGGGGGGAAAGCTAAAGGAAATCACACCGCTGGCTTGAGCCTCGATCACTAGAAGGATCCCTCCCTCTGGCAGATTAACCCAAGGGCATCTCCCACCCCTTGATGAATCCCTTCCTTTCCAGTCTGCCCCGAGGAAGGCATTGTCGGCCATTCACTTCAAACCCCAGTCCAAGGGGTTGTAAAATAAAAGGATGCTTGGGGGGAAGGGGGGAACTCCACAAATGAAAACTGAAAACTGATGTCACGGCAATAGAATGGTCCCCGTGTGACTAGCACAGGCCAAGCTCTCGCCTTGCTTCTGGCAGGAAGCAAAGCACTGCTCCTCTTGAGTCATTCCTGCAGTTGTCCTGAGTAGAAAGGCGACTTCTCTGAGACGCATCAATAGCGGTGCCTCCACCTCATTCTCCATGGTATCGCGGGAAAAGGAAGGCAGAAGAGAACGATCCGTTTGCTTTAGAGGCTGCCCAATGGTTTATCTGGTCCTGGCTCTTGGGGTACTTTGAGAGGTAAGGCAGGATGCTCGGAGAAATCGTGACCCAGGCAGTGATATCAAGAGACCCATAGAGGGGTTGAGGAGCCTCGTGGCAGTGTGGTTCAGTTGCAGCGCTGCAGTTTAACCACTCTGCCAGGAACTGAGTTCAATCCCAGGTAGCCGGCTCGAAGTTGACTTAGCCTCCCAAACTTCTTAGGTCAGTAAATTCAGTGTCCAGCTGGCAGGGGACAGAGGGGGCAATGTGTAGCCTGCATAATGAACTTGCAAACCGCCCAGTGAGTGCTTTAAGCACTATGGGGCAGTGCATAAGCAGCATGCTTTGAGGATTCCTCACCCCTGACCCGCAACATGAATGTTTCATACATAGCTTCCAAACTGTCTTCCTGCCTGGTGACCTTGTGGCCCCATCTTCGGCCTTAGCTCCAGAAGGAGCTCTCAAAGACTTTTTTTTTGAAAGCAAATTCTGACTTAAGCCAGTCACTGTGGAGGGCGGCTCGTCTTTTCCTTCTTCAGGGGATGGGTATGAAGGGTGGTCCCGCCTCTAATCAAGGGGGTCCGGGTGCTCTGCCCTGTGAAGCTCAGCCACAAGAGGGAGCCTGGGATCTCCTGCCTGCCCAGGGCTACTCCACCAGAGGTGACCCCCCCCTCCATGCAGCTGATGGAAAGGACAGCTCTTATGCAGTAAAATATTGAGCATCATGAATCATACAGCTTGTGCTGCCTACATCATCCACCCTGTGTGAGAAAGGCTGGACTAAATGACGCCAGGGCACCTGAAGCTGTCTCCACAGTATGTGAACGTAAACCACAGCTTCTGAACATCCTGCAAACCTCAATGATGTGGTTCTTGGAGTGGTTTGGCGGGACGCATAGCTAAGACTCTCTGCTACACATTCTAACACACACACACCTCTTCCTGTTTCCTATAGCAGTTTGAAGCCACAGATCTTGTAAGTCTACATGATGCTGCTTCATACAGAATTAAGAAGCTCCGACCAGCTAGCCCAGTACGATCCAGCGGTTCTCCAAGATCCCAGCAAATGTTCTTTCTAGCTCCCGCTATGCTAAGATCTTCCAGACATCCGGGACAGAAGCCGGGGCCAGGGACTAAACCATAGACTCGAATGCCCCACCCTTTCCATATGGCTCTTGTGCTGTGTTGTGCAAAGTTTTGATCCTTCCCCATGTGGTCCACAAGCTGCAGCTCAATGCGCAGCCAGTTGCTCATTTCTGAATGAACTTGCTTCGCTTCCAGCGCTCTTTTCAAAAAGTCTCCCTTAATTATCTTCTCTGGAACAATGCGGCTGAATATGCCGTTCGGCATGCAGGGAGGAAAACAAGAAGAATGAGGCTGATTGACTCCTATTTTTAGTCACGCTAATCCCTCCCCTGCTTTCTCTGATCTCGTTTGCTCGCCTGATCGTGATCTTCAAAGCCTTTCACAATGAAGTAGAGAGGGTGTGTGGCGGCGGCTGTTTGAATCAATAGCCTGATGTCTGCATCTTTGGGGCTGGCTTTCTTATGGAGCCTATCCGTTTTCGGATAGAAATCCTTTATGCCACTTGATGAAACAGTCTTGCGAATATTCCCAAGAGAAGCATCTGCTCTGGATTGCATCACACTGGTTTCAAGAGTTCTTTGCAAAGTTATGAAGGGCCTACTTAACTCAAGGACAGGACTTGGGAAGAACTGTTTTTTGAAAGATAGTGCCCAGAAACCTCTTGAGTAGTAGGGACATGGTAGTCCAATAATAATAATAATAATAATAATAAGAATAAGAATAAGAATAAGAAGAAGAAGAAGAAGAAGAAGAAGAAGAAGAAGAAGAAGAAGAACAACAACAACAACAACAACAACACTTGATGATGATAATAATAAATATCGGTGGAAAGCATGGTCATAATTCAACATGGGCATGGCTAAAACTGGGGACCCTTAAGAAAGAAACTGAAGGCTTGATTTTTGCTGCACAAGAACAAGCACTCCAAATCAATGTGATGGAAGCGAAGATCCAAGGAATACATTCTAACAGCAAACGTCAACTCTGCCAAGAA